TTTTGTTTTGTTTTGTTTTTAGTTAAAAGGATATTTATTTAATGGCGTAACTCACAAATTAAGTAATAGGTAGGTCGCAGGGTCTGGGGAAGGTGTATCGCAGTCCAGCGCTCTCTCTGGAGCTCTGCTCAGTCAACCTCCACCGTTCAGCGTACCAGCACATAGAGAGCACACAGAGAGAGCACTGGCCCATCCAGCTCTCAGGTCTCCAGGCACCTCCCCTGGCCCCGCCTCGTAGGCGTGACAGTTGCCAGAGTCTCAATGGGGGTTGGAACTTCCAGATCCAAGCTGGAATGGCTACCCACTACACTTTTCAGCCTGCCCGAGTTGAAAAGCTGACCACTCTGCCTGGACGGGTGGAATGCAGGGGAATTTCCAGATGCAAGAAGCCCCAGATACAACAATTTTCTCTCCTGCAAATGTTTTGGCTTAATCAGATCCTTAGCCAGGTTTAGAAAACCTGGTTTCTTTCAGGACATAGCGGATTTACTGGGCATGACAGATGGCAGGGTATAGATTTGTTTCCTAGTGAATAACAATTGCTCACCTTCTATACAAATCTTTTCTCTACTAGATTTAATAGTTACACCCCTCTGTCTCTCTGTCTCTCTCCATCCTCTGTCTCTCTGTCTCTCTGTCTCTCTCTCTGTCTCTTTCTCTAATAGAGTTTCTCTCTATAGCCCTAACTATCCTGTAACTCTATAGACCAGGTTGATCTCTAACTCAGAGATCCACATGCTTCTGCCTCCTGAGTGCTAAGATTAAAGGTGAATGCCACCACATCTGGCTCACCTTTCACTGTAAAAACAGAGAGAGTGGGGAAACTTACCTCTGAATCTTACCGTGAGCATTAAATGAAGTATAGGGAAATTATTTGGAAAAGAGCATTAAATGAGATATTTTGAACACAGAGAACTACAACAATACATAGATATCAATCGATATACACATAACTAAACACTCCTTCAAAATGCTTGTTAAATTTCATTAAAACTCAGTGCTCAAGAAAATTCACCCTTACACTGTTTCAACTACTGTAATCCCCGAAACGCATCACATTTCCCCCAAACAACCAACCCTTTAGGAAATACCACTTTATAAAAAGGCCTTTTCCAAAGCCCAAACCAACTTTTGCTTTACTTTTTAACTTTTACACAAACTGTTCCTTTCACTTTTTAGATGGTTTGTTTGCTTGCTTGATGATTCTTTTAAAATCAGCATATTTCCAGGCTGGATCTCTAGCGGACTTGGGTTACCGTCACCCACAGAGCGGCTCCCAACTATAACTACAATTCCAGGGGCTTCGACTCCCCCTTATGACCTCTGCGGGCACTGCGTGTTCGCGGTGGGCTTGCACACAAGCAGGCAAAACACAAACACATAAGAATTTAAAAATATATGTAAAAATCAGCATAGTTCAGTGGCAGAGTGTTTGTTCAGCATGCAGGAGGTGCCCCAGCTCAGGAAAACTCACCGCTAATGAAATGAAAAGAACATGTTCACTAATCCCTGATCGGACCTCGGGTTAAAGTTAAGGTTAGCCTGACCCTCGGGCATACACGACGCTACTTAGGGGAACCATTACGAACCTGCATTGTTCTGCTTCTGTAACCCCAAGGCTTTCTGCTCCCCGATCAAGCCGAGAAGCCATGGCAATACACCTTTGCCCTATTTTTGTTAAAAGTTCATATCCTGTCATGCTTGCCAACAGTCGCCACGTCAACGGAAAGCACCGCCGCACCTGTGGTTTTTCCTGTATAACCGGTCTTTACCGGGTCAATAAGAACTTCAAATTCATAAAGAGCTCGTCCTGGTCTCCTTTTGGGTAAAAAACAGCTCGGCTACAGCACTACCACTATTACAACAACAATTTATTCTCAAGACTGGAGAGATTTTGTGAGACGATCTTCAAGACAGCAAAGAAATTAAAGAGCGGGGTTTAAGAACCTTTCACTGTACATTTTTTTGCAGCACCGCTGTCACTGCAAGACACTTGCATAGCTGTCTCCCCTTGCGGGAAGCAGAGGAGTTGGGCGACAGACGCTATACTGGAAGCCCGGACGGCCCGGGGCTTCAGGGGAGAGTCGGAATGATGCTGGTTTCCTAAAGGACCTGGCAGGATATGGATTTTCAGAAGAAAGCGTACACTCCAGAGCCGAGGGCGGGAAGCAAGTGATAAGAAGCAAATGTAGTCCTAAAAATGCGTGCACTGTCGCGGACCTTGGGCACCCTGTCTGTCTATCGGCTGACATTTTAGAGAAAGGAGCGGGTGTCTTGGACGTTCGTTTAATGTAAAAGCTCCTGGACTAGGAGCGGCGACCCAGACTCAAGGCTTGAGAACCACCTGCAGCTCCCGCAGCCTCGGTCTCACGACCTGACGCCCAAACCACCTGGGACGGCGCAATTGGCGGCCTCTCTAGACCACGTCGCCGAACTCTATGGTCGCGGTGCACGCGCAAAACCCTTCCCGTCGCACAAAGGCCATGAAAGGAGGGTGCTGCGCCTGCGTCCTGCGTCTCCCTGGCGGGAACGCCCTCACCTCCTGCGCCTGGTGCAGCGCTACGCCTGCGCCCTGAGGACTCGCGGGACTTTTATCACGCTGGCGGCGGCGGTGACGTGATGGCTGGAGGAGGAGGGCGTGAAGGAGCGACGGAAGCCGAGAGGGACCTGGGGCGGAAGGGGACCCGGGCCAGGCTTGTGTTCGGTGCCTTGGCGGGGCTGGGGTTCCGATGTGGTCCCCGGGGCGGGAGGCCCAGGCCCCGACCGGGGGAGACCCGGCGGGCCTCCTGCCGCCCGAGTGGGAGGAGGATGAGGAGCGCATGTCTTTCCTGTTCTCCGCTTTCAAGAGGAGCCGCGAGGTGAACAGCACCGACTGGGACAGCAAGATGGGCTTCTGGGCGCCGTTGGTGCTGAGCCACAGCCGCCGCCAAGGGGTGGTGCGCCTGCGTCTGCGGGACTTGCAGGAGGCCTTCCAGCGCAAGGGCAGTGTCCCCCTGGGGCTGGCCACCGTGCTGCAGGACCTGCTGCGGTGAGGACCGGCTTAGCCGAGCGAGCGGGCCGAGCGGGGGGCGGCGCCCCGGGGCTGACTTCAGACCTGCCCTTTGACAGCCCAGCCTCGGCGGCCAGGGTTTGTTCAATGGGTGGAGGAGGAGGACGGGGAGGCGGCTGGAGAGAAAGAGAGAGAGAGAAAGAGGGGTCGGGGTGGTTGGAGTGACTGGGAGAGTCGGAATGGTCCAGACGAGAGCCACCCTGGCCGAGGGGTCAGCGGCACACTTGGACTGGCATCCCGTTATGCGGTTATTTCAGCAGGAACCTCTAGATTTGAATGAGCGGTAGAGCAGATCTCCGAGATGGGTACTTTGAACTAAGAAAGAGCAGAGCTAAGGAAGGCGTGCTCCTGGGGTTATAGACATCTTGACAAGGGAACTCTGGCACAAGTCATACAACCAGCATGTCCGGGACCGAGACTGTTTGGATCAGAGGACAGCAGAGTTTAACTGGGTATCTGGGGCCCCTGGAAGAGCCTTAGGTGAGAAGTGTGTGTGACAGGTACAGTGTTCAGGTCGTGCTTGAAGAGGTGACATGTCTAATAGATGAATGGTACTTCGTGGTTTCAGATACTGTCATACTCCAGTCTCTGGCCTTTTCAATAATCAAGGCAAAATAACAAAGTTCTCCTCATTAAAAATAAGAAACAGAGTGTGCGAGAGACCATGTAACCTATTCCCAGGTTATACAGCTAGAGTAATCCCAGGACTGGTCCCTGGTCTTTAGATTCTAAATCAGTTGTGTTTCATACTGCACGTATTATGCCCAGCCCAGCCTAGCATTGTATCTCTTTCAATGAATAAAGAGAAAGTCAAGGCTGTTGTGTTTAGCGTAATGTTTTCTCGGTAAATGGTCACCCTTCTTTACTTCTGTTCCCAATACCTTTCATTGCCTGACTTTGACCTTTCTGCAATTCTCTGAGAAAGTGTGCTGTGGAAAAAGTTTTACCAGATGCCTGAAGTGGAAAACAGTTAAGTCAGTGAGGGACGGAGGCACCGAGATGAGCCTCTTGATGCAGGACAGTCAGGGCCCATGTCCAAATCCTTTAGTACCCTGAAACCTCCTGTCCCGGCTGCTGATCCTTGAGGCTTCCTGGTACTTGTCCAGGTTTGCTGTCCACATATCCACAACTTTGCTTGAGGGCCACACCGTTGTGCCCAGATCCTGGCTTTACCATTTTCTAAACTGTGGCCCTGCATAGGTAACATGCCATCTGTAAGCCTTTGACCAATTATCAAATGACAGTAACAGCATTGTGTGGGTTGGGGATCTTTATAGCCCTTTAACACAGTGATTACCCGTGGCAAGCAGTTAGTAGACTTGGCTGCTGTTGTTACCGCTACCAGGAAACACATCTCACTTCCAGGCTAGCTTAGAGATTGAGTAAGGGCCCCTCTGTGTAGCTTTGCTCTCTTCCTGAGGGCCTGCCTATCGCACAGGATTTTCATTTGATTGTTCCCAGGCCCGTCGGTAGAAGAAAAACCTCAGCATGGGCCCAGGGAAGCCTTTTGTGCCTCTATTATCTTAGTGGGACACTTGGATTTTTGGAGCCAAATTGGCTGTCATCTGGCCTTCTTTACTGTCTTAGACCCTCAGTCTCCTCCTTAGTTAACATGCTGTTGATATCGTCTATTGTGCAGAGTGGTTAGGAGACTGAACACTGAATACAGGTGACCCTGCTCTGAGTAGCCGGTACAGAATGGATAGATAGATGATGATGATGATGATGATGATGATGATGATGATGATGATAAAATGCCTCTGGGGGTAAAGGGGCAGGTATGGATTAGGACAGACCATTGCATTACATGTCTCGACATGCCTTTGTCTCTCTTTCTTTGCAGTCGAGGCGAGCTGCAGCGAGAATCAGACTTCATGGCCAGCGTGGACAGCAGCTGGATCTCCTGGGGGGTTGGAGTCTTCCTGCTGAAGCCCCTCAAGTGGACTCTCTCGAACATGCTCGGGGATAACAAAGTTCCAGCTGAGGAGGTGCTCGTGGCTGTGGAGCTGCTTAAGGTGGTTATGCAGAAGGCGGGGCCTGGGTGGCTTCAGGTGTGACAGGGTCACCACACACGTTCTTAGAAAAATGCTGTCTCTGCCAAGTAACAGGACTAATGGCTGAGGCTACGTGATGTCTTCTGCCATGAACTTTTTAGGGTTATGTACTCGTTGGGTTATTTGTATATTTCAAGGGTAGGCTTTGTCTAAGAAATGTCAGTAACAGACAATTCCTGACAGTTGGGGGGATTAATAATAAGCTATAGTTGAGGGTGTACTCTGCTTTCTCTGGTTTACTGGCAAGGAATTCCCAGAATTTAATTAATAAGTGACGTATTTATTGTTGAACTGGGGATTGAACCTAGGCTCTGTGTGCACTGGGCAAGCGCTCTGCTACTGAGCTCTAGCTCAGCCCTCCTTGCTAAGCTCTGGTTTCCTGCCCTCCGACCACTCTTTTCCCTCCAGCTCACCAGGGACTTGCTTCTCACTGTCCCGCTCTTCTGCCTGGATGAGGCCAGCAGGCGCCATCCCTTCCTACTCTGCTGCCCAGTCAGCTTCTTCACGTACTGCCTTTTCCTCCTAGCCCAGGCCACTTGCTGACTGCAGGACAGATGCGATCTCAGAGCCCTGAGCAGTCACACTTCTCTCCTGTTCTACACCAGGAGTTGGTGGAATTCCGTAGCTCTCTTGGAACCAGCAGTCCCTTTCTAAAGCAATGGAGTCAGTCTGGTCCTGTGTCATAGAGAAGCGAGCCTAGAGCTCCACAGGGCACAGTACTGGTTCTGTGCCACCTGCTGTTACTAAGCAGACACTTCATGTTCCATTTGGTGACGTCTGGTTTCAAACATATGATGAGTCCTGTTTTCTCAGAAGTAATGGGCTCCTTGGTAACGAAGAAAAAGGTGTTTATAGGGAGGAACTTGTAGGGAAACACTGATTTTTCCCAAGGCTAGACGAAGAAATCAACCCAAAACAAAGCAAAACAAAACTTGCCCATGATTTTGCTATTAAAAAGAAAAGGATACCGAGAAGTAGTTTCCTTTCTGTTGACCCAGACCTTCTTTGGCATAAGTCCCTTTCCCACTTCTATGCTTGTGTACATGTATGTCCAGATCTCTTTTGTTCCTTTAAGTTTTTATTGTATTTATTATTGGCAGGGGTGGGTTGGGTTGGGGGGCTTACCCTGTTAATGCAAGAGAGCACCTTGCAGGAGTAATCCTCTCCTTCCACCAGGAGGGTCCCGGAGATTGAACTCAGGTCCTCAGGCTTGCCTCAACAGCCTTAACATGCTGAGCCATCTCACTGGCCCAGACGATTTTTTTTTCTTCAGTAATAGGAACTGAACCTAGGGTTTTGTGCATGCTGGGCAAACACTCTATCACCCTCAGTCCCCTTTTAAAAAATGTTAAACAAATTTTCGTTCTATAAAGGTTGTCATGAAATTGTAACAACCTTTGTGCCCTCTCCACAGAAGGCTCCTCTTGACTTCATCTGGTGGTTGATTCCCTTGTGCGCCTGCCAGCCTTTTCCTCAGTCGTCGTCTTCAGCTGACTTCTCTGAAGTCACTGCTAAGGAACCCTGCCTCGAGCTTCCTTCCTGTCAGAATTCGTTAAAAATGATGAGTTGTGATTCTAGAGTTTCGAATGCACCACCTCCCATGTTACCTCCAACCCTGCTTCCCATGTCGTCTGTTACGCCAGCTCCCAGGTCCTACTCGTTTTCCTTAAGGACTTCTGCTGTTGTTAACAGAGGCTCCCTAGCACTACTCAGTAAAGTGGCTTTCTGCACCTTCATTGGATCCAAGCTTCCTTTTTCTGTCGTGTTCACAGAATCTCCAAGCATAGCACCATAGCCAAAAGCATAGCATCCTAGATCCAAAGCTCTGAGGACCTTTGCAGGGTTTTCGTAACTATTACAGATCCTTCGTTGTTTGGTTTCTTGATAAAGTCATTGAAGGGATTTTGAGTGTTCTAATTTCTATGCAGTATTTTTAGTCTTCATCAGCACCTTATAGTCAGCAGCTGGAATGCTCCAAAGCAGAGCACAGCATCTCCCAGGCTCCAAACTGCCTTCTCCAGCAGCTGCTCTTGTGGCGCTGAGGGCATCTCTCACTGTTCTTTCAGTCATTTCAATACCCCATGTCCACCCCCCAGCGCAGTCAGCTGTCTGAAAGCCCTGCCAGTCACTCATCTGGTTTTGCCTTTAGATTCATGAGTTGTAAAGCCTAAAGGCTCAGTGATTTCTTGAATTTTTTCCAATGAGCTTTGTTACCTTCTCCTTTCAAAAGCGTAGTAATATTTTTCGGTGTCAGTAACCTCTCCAGATATTCTTTTATAGAAAGATTTCTTATTCATGTTTGTGTATGTGTGAATGCAGATGTGTGCATGCCACAGCACACGTGGCAGTCAGGAGGCCAACTTTTCAGGAGTCAGTTCTCTGCTTTCACCTTGTTTCTCTTGTTTCTGCTGCTGCACTGTGTACACAAATGAGCTTTTAGGTGATTGTGCTCTCTCTCTCTCTCTCTACATACACACACACACACACACACACACACACACACACACACACACACACACAGTTTTCACATAGGTGCTGGGATTACAGATAAGCACTATTGCATCTTTCCCTTTGTAAGTCCTAAAGGTGAACACCTTCAAGATTTGGGGTCAGCTCCTCTTCTTTAATAAACATGGCACTCAGTAGCTATCTCTTAAAGCTAATCCTTTCTGTTGTTACCAAAAGCCAGAACTATGCCTGCTACTACCCGGGGACCAGCTTTTGGCTGTTTAAAGCCCCTTCATAGCATCTTCAGTGATTGTGCCGTGAGTCTCTGGTAAACAGAGGTACAGTGGGCTGATGCTAAACATTTTCTTTTCACTCAGTAGATCATAGGTGTCCTGAAATCCACATTTTGACCTCCTGATGTGTTAGTAAAGTATAGAGAATATATCTCTGATCAAACTGGATGCCTTTGACGATTTCCAGTTCATGTTCAGTTTTCTCCATCCTGTACTGGGATGATGCCCTTTCTTCCAGCCTTTTTTCATTGCATCAAAAATGCTGCTGCCAGTTTGTCTCCATTTTCAGAAACTGGCAACCTGAGCAGTTTCTTCAGGGTTGCCACGGATTTAGACTTCTTAAGATGTGCAATTACACTATCAACACCTCCCCTGGTTTCCATGGATTAGCACCTTTGCTGGATCTCCAAGCATACTTTGGCAGGAGAGCATGCCATACCAGTCACAGTAGCATTGGTGGTGCTGGCCTGGCCA